CCCTAAACCCGAAACCCTAAACCCTAACCCTAAACCGTAAACCCTTTTCTTTGACAGCAGTTGATATGGCGCTTATGAACAGTATAAGGTGTATACAAACCTCTGACCAGACGCTTGAAGGCGACAGACTGTGACTATGACCTAAATGCGTAAGCCCTTTTTGAATAGTGGCACCAGACGACCTTGCCAACTTCATGCGGGCACAAGACAGACCGCACAGGAATCTGATACCCTAAATCCCTTTTTGCAACTAAACCCCAAACCCTAAACCATAAGAACCCTAAACCCGAAACTCTAAACCCTGGCGGGTTCACAACAGACCCGCGCAAAACTGTGGCCCCACCAGCAAACCTGAGATGCAGGACTTAGGTCACCGCCTTTAGTGTTGAGAAATGACGCCTTTCTGCTCCCCAGTGCGGCTAAAAGCAAGAACTTCCAGCCATTTCTGCCCAGAAGAAGGTTTAACCTTCTCGGAATGGATCAGAAGATGTAATCCATGGACGTCATCATGCTTGGGCCATGGATGCTCGTTTCTCATCAGAGCAGAATAGACCATGGACGTCATCATGCTTGGGCCATGGATGCTCTCTTCTCATCAGAACAGAGTAGACCATGGACGTCATCATGCTTGGGCCATGGATACTCTCTTCCCAGAACGGATTAGACTATGGACGTCATCATGGTTGGGCCATGGATGCTCTCTTCTAGCTATGGTGAAGCAAACGTGTTATTTAGACCCAGGGCTGGGCAGAAGCGGATGCAAGCAAGACTGGGCTTAGTTTAGGACACATCGAAAGTGCGAAATAGTGCAGAAAACCCCACAAATACCAGTGCAGTCTACGGATGCCCAAAAATTTGCAGGATAATTTTGGCATTTGGATAAAAATTGCGGGGATGAGGTGATCGGCGAAACCCAGGAAACATCGGTATTTACAGGGTATTCTGAGGGCAACAGAGCTAAACTGCCGAAAAGGCGTGGGTCTGTTCTGGCCCCGCCTAGCTCTAAACCCCTCTTTCAGACAAAGAGCCGGTGTCCAACTGAGAGCTTCTGAATGCACTCCTCAGCGTCCAGCACCTTTGCCGGGAGGGTTTAGGGCTTAGGGGTTAAGGTTTCTTGGTTGCTTGCTGATGCCAGAAAAGTCTTGGTGTCTCTGGAGCCGGAATTAGGACCTCTCCCTCACAATGCCCATAACAACGACATGTGAACTACCCAAAATGTGCTCTTCCAATTAAATTGGCCCTGTGCTACCCGAGACCCTACACCGTAGACTGCTTGAGCGGGCCTTTTGGTTGTGAGCATGGGTGTCTGGGCTTGAGTCACAGTGTGTGTGTGTGTGCATGCGTCCATTTGTGTGTGTGGGTGCACGCGTGCATTTGCATGTGCATTTGCATGTGCATGTGCATGTGCATGTGCATGTGCATGTGTGTGTGTGTGTGTGTGTCTGTGTCTGTGTCTGTGTCTGTGTCTGTGTCTGTGTCTGTGTCTGTGTCTGTGTCTGTGTCTGTGTCTGTGTCTGTGTCTGTGTCTGTGTCTGTGTCTGTGTCTGTGTCTGTGTCTGTGTCTGTGTCTGTGTCTGTCTGAAGCCTGCTCGGAGCAAAGTTTAAGTCGAAACTATGACAAGTGCTGCTGGCAGAGCTTGGCATTTCAGTGTCACAATGCTTATGTGTATATGTATATATACATACATATATATATGTATGTATATATACATACATATCTTTTGTTTTTCGATTAAACAAATATATATATATATATAGACATATATGTGTATATGTTTCTATGTATTTTTTATTGATTTATTCATATTTACATTTGTATTCATTCAAAAGCACCTGTGCCTCTTGTGCAGCGATGGGATCGGCAGCATCCGAGATGCTGTCCGTCATGGCCATGCCGCACGTTTACCCCGACCACGGCCTCGGATCGGGCAGCTCGAGGGGGGCCGGACCCAGATCCCTTATGGAGGGTTTAGGGTTTAGGGTTTAGGGTTTAGGGTTTAGGGTTTAGGGTTTAGGGTTTAGGGTTTAGGGCCTAGGGTTTAAAGAGCCCTATTGATACCCCTTTTGATTGAGGAGCGTACCGTAATCCCTAGTATGATGTAGGTAAGTTCCTTAAATAAGGAACATACCTCAAATCATATGAGCAATTATGGTACATTCCTTAGTTAAGGGTTATATTGGGCTCTTTGTGAGGCCTCAACTCTAAGGTGTCTAGTGCCTAAGCCGACCTGCAGACGGCCATTTTTGAACCGGAATGTGCTACTGCACTCCTGTATCTCGTTTAGGGTTTAGGGTTTAGGGTTTAGGGTTTAGGGTTTAGGGTTCCGTAAGAGAGCAGGGTCTTCCGGAGGCACCGCTTCCGCACGATCTTGTGGTGTGGGTTCGAGGAGGGTTTAGTCCAGCAGCCCATGCCCTAACCCTGAACCGGCCTAAGCCCAAAATGCGCAACCTTTTGCCCTAAACCCTACACCCTAAACCCCAAACCCCAAACCCTAAACCCTAAACCCTAAACCCTAAACCCAAATTAAACCCCAAACCCTCCGCGTAGGGGGAGTTGAGGCTTTCAGCTGCTGCGGCGCCGTCCACAGCCCTTGCAAGCACCCAAAAAGGACTTTCTGGGTCTCGGTCTCAGAAGCCAGCCCGTCGAGGGTTTAGGGTTTAGGGTTTAGGGTTTGGGGTTTGGGGTTTAGGGTTAAGAGCCCAATAGCCCTTAACTAAGGAATCCACCTTCAATCATAGTCAGGATGCGTCTAGAAGGTATATTCCTGAATTAAGGGGTATCAAGGGCTCTTTAGGTTTGCCTAAACCCTAAACCCTAAACCCTAAACCCTAAACCCTAAACCCTAAACCCTAAACCCTAAACCCTAAACCCTAAACCCTAAACCCTAAACTGTTGCGTCCAAGCCCTGAATCCCAGGAGCCTCTTGGTGCTGTGGTCTCTGGTCTCAGGTCTGTTCTATGGGCCTCAAGGGTTTAGGGTTTAGGGTTTAGGGTTTAGGGCTTAGGGTTTAGGGCTTAGGGTCAAAGGGTGAATGTTCATTCATACAGGAGTAAACATCCGAGCCAAGGGTCTAGTCATATGATGTCAAGTGATCTACACCCTCAACCCTAAACCCTGAACCCTAAACCCTACATGCAGTCCCAAATGGTCTGTGGCCCTGGCATATTCTGACACAGCGCGATCGCACATGGATCGCGGACTAAGCACTAAACGTCTCCTGCCTAAAGGGTTTAGGGTTTAGGGTTTTCTGGGTGTAACTGGGCTTGGGGTTTAGGGTTTAGAGGTGAGAGTCAGTCAAAATCAGAAGACTGGGGTCAGAATCGGCTTCTTATTCGACACTTTCGTCACGGACAGGTAGCCCATACCTTGCATACCATGACACATGTCAGTGGCTTTTGCCTCACTTCAGAGACCGTCAAACTCAACTTAGTTCCAACATGCCTTGCTCCCCTTGAAAAACTTGAAGCCCTTCTTGAAAAACTATTCCTAAATATGAACCTCTTCAACCCAAATTAAAGAGAATTTCACAAAAGATCCCAAGGGCCTACCATAGATTCTTGCATTGCGCAGGGAGGTGCCCACTTCCAACAAGGCGGGCGGCAGGGAGCTCCCCTGAAATCTGAGCCAGGCGGGCGAAGTTGCACTTCGGGTTTAGGTTTAGGGTCTAGGGTCTAGGGTCTAGGGTCTAGGGTCTAGGGTTTAGGGTTTAGGTTTGGGGTTTTGGGTTTAGGGGTTCGGGTGTGGGTTGTTGTCTTTGGGCACCTGCCTCGCTGACCTTTCGGGTTTGGGGTTTTGGGTTTCCGCTGCTTCTGACTGGATTCGAGGGTGTAGGGTGGGGTGGGGGAGTTGCAGGGCTTAGGGGCGGAGAGGTTTCAGGTGCTCTTTCAGGCTGAAGCCCTCACAACTCGGGTCCAAGGCTCGCAGGGCTCGGCCGGGCTTGGGTCAAAGCCTAATTTTCTAATCCCTACGTACATGCAAAGCTTCAGTGGCTGTCAGGTTGCCGGCAAATCCGAAAGGGGAGACTGTATCCATGACAACCCTAAACCCTAAACCCTAAACCCTAAGCACTAAACCCTAAACCCTAAGCAGGAGAGGGGGCCAATGGCAAAGAAACCCCCGAGCCATGTTGGCCCCAATCCATTGTCGGGGTGTGGGGTTTAGGGTGGTTTAGGGTGGTTTAGGGTGGTTTAGGGTTTAGGGTTCGGGGCAAGGTTGTCACATATTCCCCGCTGGCAAAACAAACAGAGATATGACGGTTGTTCGAAATTGCTTCACGGCAAAACGACCATTCTTCGCGAAAAGCAATTTGTCTTTCGCGGGCCCATCGCGGCACAAACAGTACTAGCACAAAACTTCGCGAAAGCGTGATTTGTCTTTCGCGGGCCCATCGTGGACTTTCGCGGACCCTCATTTCCATCATCTGATGGTCGCCCCAGTATAACTCGAAGACAAGGGGGGTTTTGAACAACCCTCATATACACAAATGTTCAAGATTAAGGGATATGAGGGGGCCCGGGGGGTGGTTAACAATAGGGGAACACCGAGGCAGTCATTTCAAGATCACCAACAGCCCAGCCTTCTATTGTCTGGGCTTGTGGCCACCCGTACAGGATTCTTAGGCAATCTACAAACAAATGCTCGGCCCTTAAAACAACTCGGAATATGGGGATACGGCTGGGCTACTTGGTGTACGGCTATTCTTATTCATTCTTCAGACGCTCGTCCCGAGTCCCAACCCTAAACCCTAAACCCTAAACCCAAAAGAGAAAAAGGGCTAACATGTTTGAAAGCGGCAGGTTTCTCCGGCGCGGGGAACTTGCGCGCAAGATCCCTTGAGAAACCCTAGACCCTAAACCCTAAACTCTAAACCCTAAAACCCTAAAACCCTAAACCCCCTAAACCCCTAAACCCTAAACCTCTAAACCCCTAAACCCTAAACCCTAAACCCCTAAACCCCATTTTTCACAAAACCCTAAACAGCGTGGAAGGCCCAAGGATCCGCCAAGAATGCCCTGGTGGCCTCCAGCATCTCCTCGGCTGGCAACGAACCCGCAAAGCCCAATGCATCCCGAAGCTCTAAATGGGAGAAAATTCCAATTTAGGGTTTAGGGTTTAGGGTTTAGGGTTGAGGGTTTAGGGTTTAGGGTGGGTTTAGGGTTCCCCCCTCAACCTTGAACCCTAACCCCCACACCCCGGAAGCCTAAACCCCCTCAGCATAGCAGGCTGCATGATGTGCCTGTGCTTACAGTCCGCCTCTCTTTCGCCCACAGCAGCTCTTGGTTGGGGGGTTTGGGGTCTAGTGGTGCCCTCAACTTCTCTGAGCAATCTCCAAACCCTAAACCCTAAACCCTAAGAGTCTTTCGGGCGTGGGGCTTCTGGACCCAGGGTGCGAAAATCGCTCGAGGAAACTCCAGGTGTTTTATGAGGAGTCGGCGCCTACCCAACTCAAGTCAAATGGGTACTGGCCCTGCTTCTTGGATCCTGCTGGGCTTGGGATTTCGGGTTTCGGGTTTAGGGTTAAGGGTTTAGGGTTTACGTTCTACCGTTTGGGAACCCCACATCTCAGAAAAAGCTCCTAGAACCCTACACGTTGTTGGTAAACTGTAACCCCTAAGCCCTAAAGCCAGTTTGCACTTAAGGGCCCAGGGAAGATACGTACAAAGAATTAATTGGGGGTGTAGGGTTTAAGGTTTATAGGGGTAGGTTTAGGGTTTCTGGATTTAGGATTGAAGTCTAGGGCAAACTGCATTTTAATGAGAACTGCTTGGGGAGGAGAGGGGTTGCCTTGCACCGATCATGATACCCAACGATTCGCTTGGATGGACCCTGTGCGCGGTTTTTCTGTTGGGCGACCGCCCCCTAAACCCTAAACCCTAAACCCTAAACCCTAAACCCTAAAACCTAAACCCTAAATCCTAAACCCTAAACCCTAAACCCTAAACCCTAAACCCTAAACCGAAGCTCTGCCTTATAAATCATGGCCGAGAGGCGCAGGACAACTTGCTCAAGTCCTTCTCTCCATCGTCTGGCATCTCCTCCACCGGACCCCAAGTGCTGACGACCACGGTGGGGTAAAGTTGTTTAGGGTTTAGGGTTTAGGGTTTGGGGTTTAGGGTGTAGGGTTTAGGGTTTAGGGTTTAGGGAAGATTTATAGGGTTCTTAAGTGCAAGGGGGGTATGTAACCCAAGGTTCCCGAGCTTCCCTTAGGTCCCAACACAACAGCTCGAGACAAAAGAGGGGTTTCCGCAAAGCAGTGGTGGCCTTTCTTGGGGGTTCTCATCATAAGGATTATTCCTCGCAATATTGTATTTGAGGCAAAATACCTGCTTGGGGAACACCCAAAGCTGGAGGACCCAAAATCCCAAAGAAGAAGCCTTAAAACTGAATACTTTGCAAATGGCTGCAGCGTTTGTAAGGAAAATCAGAAGTCCGTCTTGCTTGCGGTCCCTAACTCTTGCTTCTTGGGATTGGGGACTGTTTGGGGGGATCTTCGGGCAGCTACATGGTCCCTGAGTCTGGGGTCCTGAAAAGGGAACCCTTTCCTATATAACCCAGAGGGCCCATAGATCAGAGCCCTTACTTCAGAAGCCTTGAAAGAAGGTAAGGGACCCACAGAAAGGGCCCATGAAACGAGCCCTTAGAGGGCAGGGGGCGGAGGCTATGCCCCAAAAAACCCACATGAACATCAGGATTCCAGAATCCCCCCTTAGTGGGGCCCTTATACCCTGATGTTTGTTTATGTGGTTTTGGGTCCCCTAATACTAGGCCTAAACCCTAAACCCTAAACCCTAAACCCCAAACCCTAAACCCTAAACCCTAAACCCTAAACCCTAAACCCGAAACCCAATCTGCGCCTTGCAAGGGTTCAGACCCTCAGCGACTTTGTCCTCTTCGCGCTTGCGCTCTGCTTCAGCTTCGGCAAGCTCTTCGCCAGGGGGGACCCTGTCCCAGACCTTCTGGGAGGATGCAAAAAATAGATCCCCTTCAGGGTTTAGGGTTTAGGGTTTAGGGTTTAGGGTTTCTAAGAAGGACCCAAGTCTAGTATAGCATACCATTTGGGGGCTCAATTTTGTGGAGCCTCCCAGGGGTCTAGGTTAAAGGCTTTGGTGTCAGACCAGACATTGGCTTGTCACCTTTGCGGTTTAGGGTTTTGGGGTTAGGGCTTAGGGTTTTACGGTTTTAGGGCTTAGGGTTTTACGGTTTTAGGGTTTAGCGTTTGGGGTTTAGGGTTTAGGGTTCTCTATGGGTATTTACAGGCTCCTTGAAAGGCCGTCGCTTAGGATGATGCAAGCAGAAGGGATCACTGTTGAAACGTTCTAGGCTTGTTTCCAAAAGTCCCAAGCCCATAGCCCTATATACTAAACCCCGAACCCCTAAATCCAAACAGCTAAACTCTTGACCCTTAACCCCGCCCTAATTAAACCCTATAGGCCCTACAAAACCCCAGAAAACCCTCTTATATCATATAAAACCCGATACACCCCTATAAAACCCCAAATCCCAGTGCTCCTCCCGTTGGCGCTCGGCTTCATCTTCGGCAAGCCGACGAGTCTCCTTCTCTCTCTCTCTCTCTCTCTCTCTCTCTCTCTCCCTGTCTGTCTCTGGGTTTAGGGTGTAGCATTTAGGGTTTAGGATTCTCTCTTTGTTATCCCTGAACCCTAAGCCCTAAACCCTAAACCCTAGTGGTATTGCTCACAGGGTACGCAGCCTGACAAGCGCAATGGCAAGCCTTTCTGTCAGAGCATCCAAGTCTCTCTCCCTCCCTGTTTTTTGGTTTGTTTAGGTGTAGGGCTTTATTTTGAGTGTTCAGGCCTTAAGGTTTAGGATTTGAGGCACACATTTTATGGGCTTTCTTGGTACACTTCCCGATTTGTGCGTGTCACTTTGGGGGGGTTAGGGTTCTGGCTTACGGTCTGCGACGACGTCCTAGAGTAGCTTAAGCTTACTCTTTCCCTCGCGTGCGCTGAAAAGGTGCAGAGGAGCGCTTCTACGTGGGGAACGTTGCTCCGGAGGGAGGGGGCTGCATTCGGCTTTGGGCTTCGGGGCCACCCTAAACCCGAAGCCCTAAGCCCTAAACCCTAAACTCTAAACCCTGAACCCTGAACCCTAAACCCTAAACCCTAAACCCTGAACCCTAAACCCTAAACCCGAAACCCTAAACCCTGAGCTAACCCCTCAACAGTGAGCTCCAGGAGTCCTCGAGCCGCTTTCGCTCCTCTTCAGCTTCGGCACGTTCTCTGGCCTCCTGGCTCGAGGCTGGCTGAGCTCTGCTCGGATAACCCCTAAACCCTGAACCCTAAACCCTAAATCCTAAACCCTAAACCCCCTCAACCCTAACCCTAAACCCTAAATCCTAAACCCGAAACCTTAAACCCTAATCCCCCTCAACCCTAACTCTAAACCCGAAGGCCCCAAAGCCCCTCAACCCAAAGAATCCGAAGCCCTCAGCCCGGTCGGGACCCTCTGGGATGCGTAGGGAGCTGTTTAGGAGAGAAGGTTTAAACCCTAAACCCTAAACCCTAAACCCTAAACCCGCTCATACATGGAAGCAGGGCATTCACTCACGTGACTCTGCCTTGGACCCCCCAAGGTTGTACTTTTTGGGTTTGGGGACCAAGCTTAAAGATCCCCTACGGGAATATAAGGGCCAACTTAGGGGTCTATTGAGGGAAACCTCACCCTAAACCCTAAACCCTAAACCCTAAACCCTAAACCCTAAACCCTAAACCCTAAACCTTCAGGGAGCTCCTTAGGGGTACATCCTTAGGGGTCCGAGAATGACCCCCTTGATTCACAGCAAGATGCAGCAAGTTGTCCAGGGTGTAGTTTGCACGTAGGGTAACCCGATGGTAGTCACAACCCTACTTCTGCTCCGCTACTCTAACCCTAATCCTCCTGAACCCCCTAAACCCTAAACCCTAATCCCTAAACCCTAAACCCTAAGGCCTAAAGCCTAAACCCGAGCCTCAAGTAGCCTCGATAGCCCGAATTGGTGTCATGATTGCCTTCTTCTCGTTTCCACGAAGTGAGGTGTAGGGCTTATAGGGTTCCTTTTGGCACCCGCGTAGCTGGACGAACCAACTCCGGGTGTAGGGTTTAGGTTTAGGGTTTAGGGTTTAAGGTTTGGGTTTAGGGTTCATATACCTGACTAGGGAAGAAAGGAGAACCGGGGCATAGGACCCCGGATTTTGGGCTTCCTTTGCCTGCTCCCCAAGGATGTTCAAAGCTCAACGGCTCAGGGCACTTGTGGGGTAACTAGGAGGGTTCTAAACAACCCAAGGCCCTGCACTCAGCGAACCCCGCACCCTAAACCCTAAACCCTAAACCCTAAACCCTAAACCTTAAACCCCAGACCTAAACCTGCCGGCTCTTGTGACTCGTTGGGGCTGCAAGGCGTCCTCTTCCTCTCTCCTGCGCTGCGCTTCCTCTTCGGCCTTCTGTCGGGCCTGCACCTCTTGTGGGGGTGGAGGTGGGGGGGATTTTGGAGCTAACCCCCAAACCCTCAAACCTAAGCCCTAAAGGGCGTAAACCCTGTGAACCACAGGACCCTATATCAGGGTAGTTACATGGTCCCTTAGTATGGGCCTTTGAAGGAGGTTAGGGACCATATTAAACCCTAAACCCTAAACCCTAAGCCCGAAACCGGTTCAGCCCTGAGTGCCATATCGCCTCCGCTGCGGCTTCCTCTTCCTCGCGCCGCCTCTCTGCAGCGTGGCGCCTGCAGTTGGCGCGCGAAGGCATAGGGTTTAGGGTTGGTTTAGGGTTTAGGACTTGGGGTTTAGGGTTTGGGGTTTAGGGTTTGGGGTTTAGGGTTTGGGGTTTAGGGTTTCAGGGCTTGGGTTTGAGTATAAATCCCAAGAGCTGTGCTTTAGGGGTTTTTGCCACCTGCCTAGCAGCCTCGTGACCGCACTGCCGGCAGGGCTTATTGTTCCAAATCCTCCACAACACCCTGACTCCGACCCTCTTAGATGATTCTACTCTTTTGGGTATTATGTTGCCATGTCATGATATGTGTGTGTGTCTTGGGGACGAAAGGAGCCCTAAAAATGGGGTCATATACCCTACACTACTCCAATTCCTATCCAGGTATATGAACCATAAACCCTCTCAGGGTTCATTTCGTCCCCATGGTGTGTGTCCTACACTGTGGTTGGCCGTCAATGAATGCTGGCCCGACTTGCGATTTCATCCCACGCCGTCTCAGGCACTTCTCGTACTTGCATTCATTTCCGTTATATGTACACTTTCTTGGGAGCCATACTCGGAATTGGAAGGACACTGAGAGGTTTCCCTTAATGCGCTGGCCCTTATATTCCTTCAAAGGATCTTTGAAAGGGCTCCCCAAACCCAAGCACACAGCCTTAATAACTTAAGGGTCCAAGATAGAGTCCCTCTAGGATGACCCTTAAACCCTAAACCCTGAACCCTATAAACCCTAAACCCTAAACCCCAAACCCCAAAACCATTCCTGAATATGATCCTCTTCAACCCAGTTAAAGGGAAAGCCCTTGAACCTTTGGGCCTGAAACTTGTGAGGTTTTGTGCCTGGGCTCCATAGGCCCGGGGGCCCGGGTCTTGCTTTGGGCATGGACCAAGGGATCAATACTGAATTAAACATGAAATCAGAGCGTCCCTAAACCCTAAACCCTCAACCCTCAACCCTAAACCCCGAACCTTGAACCCTGAACCCAACTAACACCCATGTGAAGGATTTTAGGCTTTGCAGGGTTATGTGGCTCAGGGCTTCGAGGCCACTACAACCCCAAAAGACCAAAAGCTACCCCATGGTACTAAGCCCAGAGCTTCCGAAACCCCTAAACCCTAAACCCTAAAGCCTACATCCTAAACCCTCTTCTGTTGTTAAACCCCTCTCCTCCTACTGAAAAAAAGTGTTTGTAGAACCCCACGTGGTCTGGAGCTTAACTTTAGGGGATCCGAAGTATGGGCCCTTAATTTGGGTCCCCTGTCGTAGTATACACTGTACATAGAAAGGACCCAGACCTCGGAACCCTTTAAATGCCTTTAAGCAAGGGTAAGGGACCATGTATACTAAAGGCCCATGGCTCCAACCCTAGAGAACCTGGGAGTGCTACAGGGTATAGGGCATGGGGGTTTAGGGTTTAAAGTTTAGGGTATAGGATGCTTTGGGGCCTATTTGGGAATTGGGTTTGGGGTTTGCGGGAACTCGACAGCTTGCTCAGTCCTGCCAGTACGCACAAGAAACCCTTTCTGAAGTAGGTCTTGTATTTCTTGTACCCCCAAAAAAAGCACCCAGTATATACACTCACCAACATTAAAAAAAGGAACCTTCTACACACTCACCAATAACAGTACTATGAACCCTATATAGCTCTTCTTTTTTTGACCCAGGCTCTGAAGTCCTTGCATGGTGCGACACAGGGGGAAACCAAGCTCAGCAAAGCCTAGACAGCCCTAAACGCTAAACGCTAAACCCTAAACCCTAAACCTTAAGCGCTAAACACTAAAGTTTTCCCGAGCTCTCTAGGCAGCCAGACCCTGAACCTTCCAAGGCAGGAAAGCGCGGTATGACTTGCCTGGCTTCCTCCTCCTCCTCCTCCTCTCGGCGCCGACATGCCTGAGGAGAAGGTTCGGGGTTTAGGGTTTAGGGTTTACGGTGTTGGGTTTCTGGTTTTGGGTTCTAGACTGCCCAAGTTCATGTGGAGCAGGGCTGAAGTAAGGTGCAGGGTTTGGGGGCGAGATGCCGTAGGGTTTGACGCTTACGGTAGTTGCTTCTGCACCAGCTTGGCAGCCAAGTAACCATATTTTTATACGGGCACCCTCTTTGGGGCTGGTTGCGTGACAAGAAAACCTTGAAACAACAAAACGGAAATGGGTACGGCTGGGCTACCAAGCCATACGTCTCAAGATTTGACTGGTCGATACTTCTCAAACCTCAAAAACCTCCAAGATCCGGGTAAAGAAGCCCAAACGTATAGGCTACCCGTAGGCCTAGCCGTAGGGCCTACAGCTGGCTACGCGTAGGCCTGTCGGTAGAGTCTACGGCAGCCTACGCGTAGGTCTGTCCGTAGGCCCTCGTGTGGCCTACCCGTAGGCCTAGCAGAGGGCTACGGGTAGCCTACCCGTAGGCCTACCCGGAGGCCGACGGGTAGGCTGCCCGCAGGCCTGTCCGTAGCCTATGGGTAGGCTACCGGCAGGCCTACCCGTAGGCCTCCGGGTAGGCTGCCGGTAGGCCTATGGGTAGGCTGCCGCCAGGCCTGCCCGCAGGCCTACGGGTAGGCTGCCGGTAGGCTTACGGGTACGCAGGCCTGCCCACAGGCCTTACCAGTACGAATACTAGTACCAGTACCAGTACTAGTACTAGTACTGGTAGTAGGTCCGTAGCAGAGGCCTGTGGGTAGGCCTGCCGGTAGCCTATCTATAGCCCCGCGGTAAACCGCCGGTAGCCTACCCGTAGGCCTGTGGGTAGGCCTGCCGGTAGCCTACCTGTAGCCCTACGGCTAGGCCTGCCTGCAGCCTGTCCGTAGGCCTACGGGTAGGCCTATCGGTAGCCTAACCAGAGGCCTACGGGTAGGCCTGCCTGTAGCCTACCAGTAGGCCTATGGGTAGGCCTACCGGTAGCCTACCCGTAGGCCTACGGGTAGGCCTGCCTGTAGCCTACCCGTAGGCCTACGGGTAGGCCTACCGGCAGCCTACCCGCAGGCCTATGGATAGGGCGTATAAGCAGCCTCGCGTAGCCCCTACGTAGGCCTGTACACAGGCTACCCGTAGGCCTAGGGTAGACCTACCCATAGGTCCGACGTAGCCTCAGTTTCGGGCTTCTGTATGAGGATCCGACCGATCCCTAAACCCTAAACCCTAAACCCTAAACCCTAAACCCTAAACCCTAAACCCCACCTGCCCTGACCCAGAAGATCCGCCCTCCGCCTCTGCGCGCAGCTCTCGCTGAGATTCTTCCGCTGCACGCCTCCAGCGAGACTTTATGTTGGGCTGTGCGGTTTAGGGTTTAGGGTTTAGGGTTGCTTGGCTTGAAGACAAGTTTTCACCGAGCTGCTACTTTGGAACGGCCCGGCTGAAAATCCCAAGCTCTGTATCCTAAGCCCTGCGGTATGTATAGGGTTTGGGGGCCTGGTGGGTTTACATGGTGCTTAAGGGTTAGGACTTCAGGGCTTCAGGGGTTAGGCTTTCAGGTCCTAGATTGCCCTTATGATCCAATATCATTCTACTACAAAGACAGTTGATAGTTCTAACCCTAAACCCTAAACCCTAAACCCTAAAAAACCCTAAGCCGCCATGGCGCCCGGGATAAGACACGCTTAGGCCCTCAGTCGGAAGGGTGATCTTGGGGTCGGAAAGCACACCTGAAAGGCCCTGGGATCCAATTACGCACGGAACCTCACAAGTTCAGTTCTTAGGGTTTAGGGTTTAGGGTTTAGGGTTTAGGGTTTAGGGTTTAGGGTTTAGGGTTTAGGGTTTAGGGCTTAGGGCTTAGGGCTTAGGGTTTAGGGCTTAGGGTTTAGGGTTTAGGGTTTAGGGTGTAGGGTTCAGGGTTTTAGGGTTTAGACCCTCAAACCCTCAAACGAACCAAAAGCCCTAAGCACGAACGATTTAGGAAGATCCGCTACCCCAAACCCTATAAACCCAAAGCCCTTGTAACCCGTTGAGCACTTGTCCGAGAACCCCTATACCCCACACCCTAAACCCTAAACCCTAAACCCCAAACCCTAAACCCTAAACCCTAAACCCGAAACCCTGATCCCCAGGCTGTCGCTCCTGGCTTCTTCCTCTTCCGCTTGGCGCTTCTCCCGGGCCATCCGCTCCTCAGAAGCCCGTACTTCCTGCGCGGCTTGGGGATAATATAGGTTTAGGGTTTAGGGTTTAGGGTTAGGGTTTAGGGTTTAGGGTTTAGGGTTTAGGGTTTAGGGTTTAGGGTTTAGGGTTTAGGGTTTAGGGTTTAGGGTTTAGGGTTTAGGGTTTAGGGTTTAGGGTTTAGGGTTTAGGGTTTCGGGCCTTAGGGTTTAGGGTTTCAGGTTCAGGGTTCAGGGTTTAGGTTTAGGGTTTGGGAAAAATCATACAGGGGCCTTATCATGACTACAAGAGGCTTTGGGCGGTTTTCTACTAAGTTACTGTAGTAGAAGAATATAGGCACCGGAAGGGAGTACTAGCGGTTTAGGGGGCTTTTGGGTTTTTCCGGGTGCCGGATTATAGGTTTTTTTGTTTTTTTTTTTTTTTTGGGGGGGGGGGGGGGGGGGCGTAGGAGATCTAGGGTTTAGGGCTACAGGGATGCCAGGGGTTTAGGGTTTAGGGTTTAGGGCTACAGGGTTGCTAGTGGATTTGAGTTCTTGGGTCCTCTTCGTGGGAGGGATGCATTTTGAAGGGTCAAGAACTCCGGCAAGAGCCCCCTTGAACCTCAAACCGAATGACGGAGGTATGCAAAACAACCGCCTTCAGAGTCAAAATGAGCACCCTAAACCCTAAACCCTAAACCCTAAACCCTAAACCCTAAACCCTAAACCCTAAACCCTAAACCCTAAACCCGCTTTTCTATTGATGTAAGTCAAGATCTGAGACCGACCGAGCTGCCTTTCTCCAGCCTTTCCAAGGGTTCAACCAAGGGCTTCGGGGGGCCAAGAACAGGCCATGGAAATTTCGAGTAAAGCTTTCCGTAAGGGACGACACGAGCCCGAAGAGTGTCTTTATGGGGTGTAGTCGTCTACCCTAAGCCTTGAACTCTCAACCCTGGACCCTTGAAACTCCAAGATGCCAAGGTCCCTGCGCGATGGTTAAGAATCCCCCCTCCCAGGCTCTTCTTTTTGTAGGATGCCTAAGAATCCTCTTAAGGGTTTAGGGTTTAGGCGGTTTTTTACAATGTCAGTAGCTGGCTTTATAGTGTAAAGGTTATCTTACAAGCACTAGACTAGGTCTTGTGTTCTTAAGAATGAAGCAAAGAAATGGGCTTTGGGTTCTTGAGGTGCGCAAGAGAAGCCACCTCTCCTCCTCAGGCGCTGGCTCCTTGGGCGAGGTAGGGTCGCCATCTTCCGCTCGATCTTTGGGCCTGAAATTGGGGAGCTTACGATAATGGGGGGTACCCTCATGAGGTCCGGTTTATAAGGGGATCCTTCTATCTGGGGGTCTATATTCGGGGTCCCCTATTTTTGTAAACTCCCTAAAATGACAAAATTACGAGGCGAAGGAGTTAAAGGGGGCGATAGGGAAGCTGAGGGAAAATCTTCGAGAGTGCCACCATCGGTGCAAACCCGTACTAGCGGCATGTCAGCTCAGGCTCGATTTGCCTACCATTCTTGCTACTCTATAGGCCCCCCGCCCTCACGAAGAAACCCCAAACCCAAAACCCCACCCAAACCCTGAAACCCAAACCCTAAACCCTAAACCCTAAACCCTAAGCCCTAAACCCTAAACCCCAAACCCTAAACCCTAACCTGGCAGAGCCAGGCGGCTCTGCCGGTGGCGCCGGCTCCGAGCTCGAGCTGCCATCTCCTCGAGGGTTTAGGGTGTTTTTGGGGTTTCGGGTTTCGGGTTTGGGGGTTTTGGGGGTTTGGGGGTTAGGAATTAGGAATGAGGGTTTAGGGTTTAGGGGTTTTGGGATTTCGGGTTAGGGTTCATTGCAAGGTTTAGGGTTTGGGGGTTTTGGGTTAGGAACTAGAGTTTAGGGTTTTGGGTGCAGGGTTTGGGGCGGGGGTCCGAAACGTAAGCCTCCTTCTTTAAGAGTAGCAGAAGACTCAACTTTTCGGTTTTAGGGCTTCTGTGGTTTTGGACTTGAACTTCAAGCCCTTGGCAAGGGTTTAGAGTTTAGAGTTTAGGGTGATGCTAAGTCGTTCCCGAAAGGCCGGCACCATAATTTCAGAGGAGCTGAGTGGGGGTCTCATCGTACCCTCAACCCTAAACCCTATACACCTTAAACCCTAAACCCTAACCCTAAACTCTGAACCTTAAACCCTAAACCCTGAACTCTAAACCCTAAAACCCTAGCCCTAAACCCTAAACCCTAAACCCTAGCCCTAAACCCTAAACCCTAAACTCTCCGGCCCAGCCCTTTCTTGCAACCAGGACTAGGCGACTGCCGGGACATGGGGTTACGCCCAACCCTAAACCCCAAGACCCTGAATCGCACCACGAAAATCGGTTTAGGGTTTAGGGTTTGGGGTTCGGGGTTTGGGGTTTAGGGTTCAGGGTTGCGCGAGTCCTTTTCCCCCTTCCGGGGTCTCGGAGCCTTTGTCGGAGTCGAGGCGGAAAAACTGTGGGCCCTGGCACAGGCCAGATGCTTCCGTGACACAAGCCCTGGGTGCGCAAGCACTTGGATTGGGATGTTCCCCCTGATGGTAACAGTCCTTTATAGGGATTCTAGTACCCCTGTTTAGGGTTTAGGGTTTAGGGTTTAGGGCAATTTTGGTCTCTGAGCTTGGCTAGAGAGGGCAGTTGAACCCCTAAGCCCCGACCTGGCCCTCTGACTTCCACGAGCTCATCCACGCAACTGCACACACAAATCACAAATCCTCGTTGTGGACATAAAGATAGGGTTTAGGGTTTAGGGTTTAGGGTTTAGGGTTTAGGGTTTAGGGTTTAGGGTATGAGAAAGACAAATAAACACCCAAAAACAAGCTGGCTTTGAAGGCATACATTGGAGATCAATGAAGCACCCAGCGTTTGTTTTTGGGGAATAGCTATTCCCTGTCACCATACCGAAGTCATATACATATGGCTACTGCCTCCTGTACCGAATCCTACAACATAGTCTTGGCAAGATAGGGTTCATTATAATAACTCGATATATGTAAGCTACAAGACATATCCACTGCATTGAATCTTGACAACCCTCAAAGCCCTAACTAAAGTGACTTTTTATGGGAACCCAAACAGGGAACCCCAAGAATATAGCAGGAATATAAAGGGAATAGGGAATAGGGTTTAGGGTTTAGGGTTTGTTTAGGGTTTAGGGTTTAGGGTTTAGGGTTTAGGGTTTAGGGTTTAGGGGTTAGGGTTTAGGGTTTAGGGTTTAGGGTTTAGGGGTTCAGGGTTTAGGGTTTAGGGTTTAGGGTTTAGGGACCCTGGTAGGTATATTCCCATTCAAGTCCCTGTATCAACCCTTAACTGTAGGCGTCCCATCAAACCGCTAAAGCCTTTTTGGACTTCTGGAGGAGCAGCCCTAACCCTAAACCCTAAACCCTAAACCCTAAACCCTAAACCCTAAACCCTAAACCCTAAACCCTAAACCCTAAGCCCTAACCCTAAACCATAAACCCTAAACCCTAAACCCCAACCCTAAACCCTAAACCCTAAACACTAAACCCTAAACCCGAAAGGCCTGGCTGGGATCCTGTGCCACGAGGTCCTCCCAGGCCTGTTTGCTTTATCGTCTTGGGGCTTAGGGGCACCCTAAACCCTAAACCCCAAACCCTAAACCCCAAACCCCAAACCCTAAACCCTAAACCCTTGCGCCCTGCTTGCGAGTGGGACTCTCTGCCCGGCCAAACCCTTTTGCCCCCTAAACTTTGAACCCTTCAGACCCTTGCCATGTTCTCGGAACCCTCAAAGCCATGGGATGGTTTAACCCTGAACATCCCGAGCCGCCCGGATTCATGCGCCGGGGGTTGGCGAGGGTTACCCGAGGCTACGCAAAGCGCACAGCGCACGCTTCAGGTAGCTGGGAGAGTGCGGCCTGTGAACAAAGGGGAGTTGGGGGGTGGGGCAGGGGGAAAGAAGGCGGGAGTGGGGGAGAGAGATAAGGCGGGGCCCCACTGAGGGACATCTAGGAGATTGGCCGTGGCTTAGCGTGATCCATTCCTGGAAGCCTTAGGTAAAACCTCAGCTAAGCCTTGCAAACCCTCCACCCTAATGCGCGAAGACCCCAAAACTATTAAAAAACAACTCGTGCAGATTCGTAGGTAACCGAGCAGATGTGTTTCGTTTTTGTGGGTTTTTGGGATCCCTAACCCGCAACCCTCAACCCTATAGCCTATATACCCGAGCCAATACCCTAAGCCCTCAGAGCCTGCAGAAGCTCAGAAATTTCGCGGTTGCTGCACACATTCTCGCAAAATTCCTTCCAAGGCGGGTGGGAGTTTGGGTGTACCCTAAGCTACTATGTGCTTGAGAACCCCCCACAAAAGAAAATGATTAAGGAACATTCTGTGTTTGAGGGGCTTCGAAGCACATTGTAGTAAGCCCTCCATAAAGCCTGATCTTTCCTATATGCAAAAGCTCTGGATGAGTTATAGGGCTTCGTTGAGATTTAGAGCGTCTTACAAGTGCATGGTTCAACATAACATACATGTGATCACCAACATCGCAGACAGTCAGAGGCTCAGGGGCGGTTCTCTAAACGAAACCCTGTCCTTTAAGGACCCCTGAAAGCGGCACATGCCAGTTGATTCCAGACGTTTCAGGCTTAAAAGCAGGAGACACCTCGCTCAGAAACCTGTGAAACCCCCCCCCCCCCCCAAACTGTCCATGGGTTTAGGGTTTAGGGTTTAGGGTTTAGGGTTAGGGTTTAGGGTTTAGGGAACTACCTCCATGTACTCCAGGGGGGGGGAGGCCTTGGCGCTGTGGCCGGCAGCGCTGCGCTTGAGCGGATCCGCCCGAGCCTCGGCGGGAGGGCTTTAAGGGTTTAGGGTTTAGGGTTTAGGGTTTAGGGTTCTGGTGCCTGGTACCTCGGGGACGCAACGAAGCCTTGACTTGCAGCTGCCGTGGGCTGCGCTCTCTGGGCCTCAGCCGCAACCCCCCAAACTTGCAAAACTTGGGATGTTGCCCCCCCCCCCCCTTTTCTCAGGGTTTTTTAAAGGGATGACAGGAGGGGGTACTATAGACCCTACTAAGGACTGTTAGATACTGTTAGTAAATTATAATAAGGGAGAACATCCCAACTCCAAACCAAAAAACCCAAACCCCCGAACCCCCTAAAAACCCAACAAGAGCCTCGCAAGCCCAGGCAAAACACGACTCGCGGCGTCTCGAAGCCTGGCAGAACGCCCCGCCTAGCTACACTGAAAGATACTGCCAGGATGTTGCACCCTAAACCCTAAACCCTAAACCCTAGACCCTAAACCGGCTTCAAGCACGGCTGCTTGGGCCGTCAGAAGCCCCAAGCCCTGATCGATTAGCTCGGACAGAGCTTCTGACAGCACGGCCGCAAAAAGGAAGCACAAAAACCCAAAACTAAAACACTCTCGACCCACCAAAATGAAATCCCTTAACGAATCTTCAAACAACTTACATCCTGACAGAAGTAAAGGAAGCCCTGACAAGCCCTGAGAAAAAAGCCCTGGGCCCCTACTCCTCAACAAAACCCAAATTGCAATTTGGCGGATTAGGGTTTAGGGTTTAGGGTGTAGGGTTTAGGGTTTAGGGTTTAGGGTTTAGGGTTTGGGGATTGTCCGCTCCCGCATGGTAGTGTTTAGGGTGTAGGGAATACCCTCCTCTATACTGCCCGCCCTAGGTTCCCCCTTAAAAACCATAATTAGGCTTAATTAATCCCTAAATAGCCTGAATTCTGGTAGTAGGGGAACCCATGAGGTTCGGGTTTACTCTAACCCCTAAACCCTAAACCCTAAACCCTAAACCCTAAACCCTAAATCCTAAACCCTAAACCCTAAACCCTAGGATGGTTTAGGCAAGAACATCGCAGCAGGGGGGCTGATAGGAGCCGACGGACGCATCCCACGTCCTCGGTGCAAACCGCCTTGGCCGAATATGGTTAACCGGAAGCCCCATAAGCCCTACAAAGATCTACAAAGGGTTTAGGGTTTTAGGGAGTGTTAGGGCTTAGGGTCTAGGGTTTCTAGGGCTTAAGGCTCCGGGCTCTGTTTTCAGACTCCATTGAGGTCGAAACAATTTTCAGGTGTTATGGCTGAACCCTAGGCCCGTGAACAAACACCCGCCCACCCCATCGACTTCCAAAGGCAATACTTGAAGGCTCATGGTACTTACTAACCAATTATAGCTGTACTTATAACCCTACTTATAATACCCCTAAAGGGCCTTATAGGGGTTATCCCAATTATAAGTAGGGTGAAAAGCCCAGTTATAATTGGTTAGTAAGTACCATGAACCTTCAAGTGCCGATGCTGAGTCTGAAGCAAAGAAGTTGCACACCTGAACTCTGATATGTTGGGCTGTTCCCCCTATACTAAAGGTCCACCAATAGGGATTATGATAGTACCCTCTATTCTAATCCCTACTAAGGAATTCTTGAGGGAACGTCCCAACTTGTAAGCCCTAATACCCTTCACGGGTTGACGCTTTTGAGGACTGTGGGCTCCCCCTGACACCTGTTCTAAACCCCGGTGGAGTATGGTCTCCGGCTGCTACTTGCTTAAAAACCCCCCACACCCCCCCCCCCCCCCCCCCCCCAAAAAAAAAAAAAAGAAAAAACAAAACATAAGAAGAGCCCCCAAAATTGCCCTTATAGAGAATAGTTGCTCTTTCTTTCTTTGGGGGTTCTTAAGCAAATAGTCGGCTGAGGGGTTTTAGGGTCGAAACTCGCAGAGGCTGCCATGAGAAAATTCGGTGCCCCCCCCCAGCGCCTCCATGAGGGGCGTCTCGCCCTCGCGGTCGCCCAGATTTGGGTCGGCGTGGAGTGCCAGCAGCTCCTGGTTTAGGGTTTAGGGTTTCGGGGTTTAAGGTTTAACTAGGGTTTAGGGTTTATGATTTATTAGGGTTTAGGGTTTTGGGTTTAGGGTTAATATCATGGGGCTTAGGGTAGGGTGTAGGGTTGGAGTGCCAAGAGCTCCTTCTTGGGGCTTATCTTGGGTAGTTGGATCGATACCTGGAAAGAGAGAAAGAGAGAGAGAGAGAGAGAGAGAGAGTTCTATATATGCAAATACATGTATGCATATACATACGTTATAAAAAAAACATATATAATGATATATATCGACTCATAATCACTGATGTACATCTTTTTCGGGTGTAGGGGTTAGGGTTGGATGCTGATAATGGTTTAGAGGGCTCAGGGTAGGGTTTAGGGTTGCTTAGCGGTTGTCGTGTCCGACTCGGACATACCAAGCTAGGTTCATGGGCCTGGATTCAGGATTTGAAGATCCGTCGGGGTTTACAGGGGCAAGATCACCTGCTAAGACCTTTCTTGCGGCGCAGCTCATCCTTTTGCCTGTCAAGACCTCCGGCCACGTTCTGCCAAAGACCTCCTTTCCATGCGGTTTTGGGTTGAAGGTAATTTAGGGTTCAGGGTTGAGGGCTTATAGGGTACAGGGTATAGGGTTTAGGGTTTCGGGGGGTTGAGAATTTAGGGCTGGTGGTATGTGGCATGCTGCTGACCAGACATCGCCAAGTCGCAGACACGACGGCCAAGTGGTCATCGCAGTGCGCCGCCCCTTCCAATCCAGGGCAGGCTACACCCTAAACCCTAAACCCTAAATCCCAAACCCAAAGCAAGTCTTTTCGGAGACCCGAAAATGATCTCGCCCTTGGAGGGCCGAAGACTCTCTGGGTGCTGTCCTCTTGCCCCCCTCCCCCGCCCCCCGTAGCCAGGTCCTGCCATTCACCCGAAAGCCCAAACCCAAAAACCTAAACCAGAAACCGTAAGCCCTTGTGCTTGTCTGGTCTTTTTGGTGTTTAGGGGCATCCTGGACAAGGCATGTCGCGATTTGCACCCGCGCTTCTCCTCCGCCAGTCGGGCACCCAAAGCCCTCGTAGTTCCCAAAATGCTGCACTCGGGAGAGCAGGAGTTTGGACATACCCCATGCTGCTGAAAATTACCCCTACTGAGGCAGAGCAACCATAAACACTTTCAGGGTTGCTTTTATGGCCACCAACACAGCTGGACGAATCACTCGGCATGGACTTTCGGCGTCTCGGTGCAGCGTCGCAACAAGTGTGCTAGGCGTATGTTGGAGACTTGGGATGTTCCCCCTGATACTAACAAGACTAACAGTCCTTAATAGGCATTACAATCGGGTTAGTACAAGGGGTGACAGCAGGGGGGCCGACCTGCTGCGCGCACGGCCAGTAGCAGAGGCGTGTCCCCATGTGCAGAGAGACCATCCTGCAAAGTGTTTGAAGCTTGGGGGATGGAGGGGTTTATGACCGAGATTTTCGCCGCGGAGTCAGTAGGTTTCGGGTTCCAAAGGGTCTGTAGGGTTTCTGGAGATGTTTAGGGCTGAAACTCCAGGTCTCCTGACCAAGCACCAACCAAACATCGAGGCGGGCTGGGTTCAGGGGTTCAGCGTTTAGGGTTTCATGACTAGGCTTGGCGGTGTGTGCATGTCTTGAGTTTGGCTCGGCGTGTCAGACCATACATACATGTTCACATGCATACGTATGTTTCATTTATATCTATCTGTTTGTTTGTGTTTTGCCATCTTGGTCTCGGACTTATTTTGAATAGTACCACGACATCTTGTGCCAGTGTGCATTGCCGACGTTCAACGACGTTTGTATTGCCAGGCCTTCCTAAGAACCTGCTGAGGTGGCAAGGCCACGTAACACCCCACCTTGTTTAGAACCCAAAACCTACTTCTTCAGCAAGCCATAGGGGGTTCGAGGACACAACAACGGTACATGACATGAGGACCGTTTAACCCTAACCCCCAAACCCTAAACCCTAAACCCTAAACTCTTATAAACCCTACACCCTACACACCCTAAACCCTAAACCCTGGAGCCGCCCGGGGTCCACGTCCGCTGACTTGGCCACCAGGAGCCGAACGATGGCAGCTCTCAGGGATGCTCCTCGTGGTTTTTTGCTTGGGTTTTGGGCATCCCTAAACCCTAAACCCTAAACCCTAAACCCTAAACCCTAAACCCTAAACCCTAACCCCTAAACCCTAAACCCTAAACCCTAATTCGGGCAGGTTTGACGAAGGCTTCGGGTTTAGGGAGGGATGCTCCTGGCCAGTGGTGCTTGGGGCTTTGAGGGGGCGGGGGGCAAAGAGAGTTTTATACACATACCATGTCTCATTTTTGCTTATTCGCGTAGATAGATGTTTACTTAGATGCTATTAGTTTCTTTTGCTTTTTTTCTTTTTTTTTTTTGGGGGGGGGGTGGAGAGTTGCTGTTGACAAGCCGTTTATGGCTCTTACAGTGGGGCTTTAAAGGGTTTACAGATGTTTACTCGGTGTAGAGTTTAAAGAGGGTTTGCAAGGCTAACTTTTCGGTGACGGTGTCTGCGCAGGCTTGGCTCAACGACGTCATCGTGAATCAGGCCGGCCACACTGGACGAAATTGGGGTTGACCCTAAACCCTAAACCCTAAACCCTCAACCCTAAACCCTAAACCCGAAACCCTAAACCCTAACCCCTAGACTGCCCAGTAACCTATAATAAAGGCAGCAAAGGGCCCTTTGCAGGAGCATGGGCGTCTAAAGAGCGACTAATGCGGCTGCCGTCCTCCTTCAATGTCTGCCACCTTGGTTCCGTGGGGTAGCGGGCGGGTTCGATGAAAAGAGATGATGCCAACTTGGGAAGTATAATAGCGTGTACACCTTAACATAGAGCCCCATATAGCAGGATTTTATAATAAGGACCCCAATCAATTACCCCTAACTTCGGAAACTTTCCGGTAGTTTTGCAGGCAAATGGTTCAAGCCAGGCAGCGACAAGATGTAAGGCCGACTCGTCTCGACCCACGCCGGTTGCGAACACTTTCCTTGCGACACTGCACTAGGATGGCCCTTAAAACCATCTGACAGACATTCCTGGACATAATCCGCTTAAAACCCAATAAGGGAAAATATGGAATGTCCCAAGAAGGCCTACCTAGTGCAGGGACACGGCCAACTCTTCTTGCAGTCGCGGGCCGTGATACTCTAAGCCCGAGGCACCAAACCAGTGACGTCGTAGCCCAGCAACCATGCGATTAACGAGGGTACCCTAAACCCTAAACCCCAAACCCAAAAACAGAAACCAGAAGCAAAAGATAAGATCAAGGGCACCACCGGGCTACCAAGTTGACACCCTGTTCTGCCAAAGCGACCGTAGCTTCGATCGCGCTGCGCTGGGTTGGGCCGCTAGTTGTGCTGCAAATTCCTTCAATTGAAAGATCGCCGGAATTCCAGGCTTTCTCATCCTTCATTTGGTCTTTTTACTGGTTCCGTGGGGCGGTGTCTACAGACTTAACCGCTGGTTCCATCAGGCAGGAACTGTAGACAAAAGCCAACCGTTCAGCCACTCACTTCTGTTAGTGCACGTGCATTTCTCGCTCCTTCTGTTCGCTCGTTAAAACTACACACGAATGAAGGCACGAATGCTTGTGGAACAGGGGCTGAAGGTAAGGGTTTAGGGGGTTAGGTAACCCAAAGTGCTGTTCCTTGGGCCATGCTGTTTCCTACATCTAGGTCTTGAACGAGCCATCCGCTTGTACGTCAACATGTGCATCGATGGCCAAGAAAATACAAACAAAACGAAACCCTAAACCCTAAACCCTAAACCCTAAACCCTAAACCCTAAACCCCAAACCCCAGGCAAACCCCAAACCCCAAAACCTAAACCCAACTTGCAACGTCATCAACCGATCCTCGCTTGCAAAATGCCGTCCTGTGGCAGCAGCACGTCCGCTGCAAATTGCCAGCCCTCTTCTGTGTCCAACAGAAAATCCTGCTCGACATTGGTGGGGTACTACTCCAGATTTCTCAGAACCAATTCTGAATCCTTGCTATAACACAAGGAACCTCCAAGAAGTTCCCCCGCCCCCGGCAAGAGTCTTGTTCTCACAGATAGGAGTTTGGGGCTTAACTGCTGATGAAGGTCTCGTCATGCTATTCCCAGCCTCAAAAACCATTTTCTGCATCCAAACGAAAGCTTGAATTTGGGATCGTATATTTACGCTGATAAGGTCTCTGAGTATTTGCCTATGTGGACGGACCATAAACCTTCCCCGGATTCCTTTCATTCTACATGGCATGCACAGCGAGTCCAGAGCAGCGTCCCCATCACCCTCAAAACGCGTGATGGCGGACTTGGCCACTACCTTCGCTGGCTTGTTGAGGCTTTAGGGGCAAGAACGCACCGCGTAGATTTTGTTACCTTTTCCAAAAACAAACTTCAACTAAAGCTGCCTACAGTACGAGATGAATTCTCCTCAAAAAAGGCACATATAACTGGCAACGACCTCACATGACTTAAAAGCGGGGGGAACTTGGTCGCCATACACTGTTTGAACGAAAAAAACTGTCTTCCATTGCCAGTTACACATACCAACCAGCCCCCCTCTGCCCCCAGTGTATAGCCCCAAACAATTGTGAGGGAACAAGGGGCACTGGGTCTCCAGTGTTTGAAATAGATACAAGCCTCACAAGCATTACTAAGCAGGACCATTAGGATGCTCGGGATGCAGCAAGAAAACCTGTTGGCGAGAAGAACTGCGTTCATGGCTGCGGTTGTTTTTTTTTTTTAACCCCTAAACCCTAAACCCTAAACCCTAAACCCTAAACCCTAAACCCTAAACCCTAAACCCTAAACCCTAAACCCTAAACCCTAAACCCTAATGCAGCTCAGGCACTTCTTCCACTCCATGCGCCACTAACCGCGCCACATTCGCCGCAAAGGCGTTGTCCATGTTGCCACGAATCCTGCCGCAAGGCCATTCCGCAAAGTGCACCCTCGTTTTCTCTCGTACAAAGATGCACGGAGTTTCCATGACGGACGGTAAGGCGAATTCGCTGCCAGTGCTGGAGGTTTAACAGAATACCAAACCCCCACACGGGCTGAAGTCCCATGGTGCGGCAGGGTATACCGGACTTTTTTTTCATGCGCACATACGTATACACATAAACGTATGTTGATGTACATTATATATGCGCAACCATGTTACAGGCGTAGGGTGTTTTGCTCACAACTCATCTGATCGGGGTTGCACATGGGTAGTTTCCAAGGTCTCTCTTTGGGTACCCATTCTAAAGCTGCACCCTTTAAGCAGTCATCCCAGAAAGGGACCCTAACTTAGAGAACTACCCACATGGCTGACCACACCACCTTCTACACAGCAAGCCGCAAAAACTGAATGGGGTTTCTCATGTGTCAATCAGATTGCACATGCGCTGCTCCGTGCACCGATCTCCTCTGCAACCACAGCCGCAACCACTGTCAGAGGAGCCATCCAACGACGTGGAGGACGCAATTGATACGGGTGATGTTGCTGAACTTCACTCCTGGTCGTTCATTGCCTGTTTCTGCGGGGGCTAGCCACAAAACCCGGTCGTAAACGCCAATACCCGAGCGCAAACCTTATCGTTAAATTTTATTCGTTATCGTTTTACAAGGTAAACGACACATGCAGGAGGGAAAGCTATGATACCACACAGTACTGGCCATGTCTCCGCAGTACTGGGCTCGGCCGGCTGGCTTTCATGGCTTCGTAGTACAAGCTTAGTACTGGACTCGATGTTTCCCTGAGACGGCTGGGTTTTTCATTGCTTTGTAGTACAAGCTTAGTACTGGAATCGAGGTTTCCGTGAGCCGGCCGGTTCATTCATTGCTTTGTAGTACGAGCTCAGTACTGGAATCGATGTTTCCGTGATAGTACAGGGTTAGTACTGGAATCGATGTTTCCCTGAGCCGGCTGCTTTTTTCATTGCTTTGTAGTACGAGCTTAGTACTGGAATCGATGTTTCCCTGGGCCGGCTGCATGTCTGTCATTGCTTCGTAGTACAAGCTTAGTACTGGAATGGATGTGTGCGTGAATCGATGTTTCCCTAAGCCGGCTGTATTTCATCGCTTTGTAGTACAGGGTTAGTACTGGATTTTTTGGTTTTGCTGGAATCGATCGATGTTTCCGTGAGCCGGCTGGTATTTCATTGCTTTGTAGTACAAGTTTGGTACCCTTCCTTTTGCCCAACATGTCAACGTTATCGTTTTTTTCTATTCCTTATCGTTTTACAAGGGATCCTTGACTTCGGGGCCGCCCGTACATAAAGTTCCACAACCGGGTTATTTGCCAAGCCCGTGTGAATCTAGTTCGGCTCTTGCTGGAATGAAACAGGAACCCCTCTGAGCAACATAACGGAGGACGAGCGTGCAGCAACAACCAGCTTTGGCAATGCAAGGCACATGCCACCCAACCGACACGCATTGACATTGCGAGCAGAGCCTCATAGTCATGTGCAATCACAATAAGAAGCGCGGCCTGCTGATCCAAAGCGTTCCTTGTCACCTTGCAACCTAATCAAGTGTGGGTTCCCCGCGGCTTCGTTGATGATTTGCTTGAAAGCATTCTCGACATCAACCTGGCCGAGGCAAACAAGACGAGCTCTGTGTTCAATGAAACGAATGACACTAGCAAACGGCGAATCCACAAGCACATCACGATCATCACGTTTAGGTCAACAAGGCAGGATGGGTGAGTTCAGCCAGAAACAAACCCATCAACAACAATGGGCCCCAAAAAACAACGCAGAAGATACAACAAACACGACGCGAATGGCAACAGAGGGGCAGAGCCAAAATGCTCAAACGCGATCAGGCCTGCAAGCCGCCCCGCAGCCGCCTCATAGCGGAAGCAACCACTCCCGTTTCCTGGCCATGAAATGAAGAACGCATTTCGGGTTTCGAGCACGGCTTTCTCATTGTTTAGTTTTTTCAATTTTTTGGCATTCGCGGTCCCAGCACAGCACCCGACGCCGAGTCAACAAGGCATTGTTCGAGACGGCTCTTTTTTTGCAGGCAGCTAGCGCAATGCCAGTGCAGCAGGCAACGCACAAGCCGAACTGTGCGGGGGTCGCTAAAGTGAGGAATGCTGACCGACGGAATGCGAAGGCGGACGTATGCGGACGTGCAGGCAGATCGGGAAGGTAAAGGCTGCCCGTGCGCGTCAGCCGTGGAGCAAGCGAATGAACGACGTCGTCTCGGAGCTCCAACGGCCGCCGATTCAATGACCCAAACAACATGATGGTGGGGTGGGCTCGGGGTACGTCCGCTTTTTGCTCCACCGTCAGTGAGCGCAGCGCAAGCTTTGCTGCCGCGCAGCCGCGTTATGCCGAGGATGCGAGACGCGAGACGAGCGTGGTGTCGACTGCGCCCCATTCCAGAACGGAAGACCGCTTGCGATGACCTCAATACGGACCCATGCAAAGATCACGACATCTACCGATGCACCACCCTGGCCGATCAGCGTCAACGAGAAGGACCCCAGTTGTCCCCAGTGCCGAGTGTGCTGTTGCAAGTCAAGCAAGCGACATCAGCAGCACGAGTCCTCAAGCAACCGTCCAGCGGTCAGCGACGAACTACCAAGTGAAACAAATGTACAGATCGTGATGTACAACGAAACATAACTCAAACTAACAGCATTCAGAATTACACGCTCAGACCGTCCAGCAGGGAACGCTGGGCTTGACACACGGCTGCCACAAAGCTCAAGTGGGCAGACATGAGACTAATGGAGTTGCGCCGGTCATGCGGCGTAAAGAGCAGCTGCAAGAAGGCAGCGTCAGCAAACTGCGCAACTCCATGCACACCTGCCGCTTCACAGCGCCGCAGCCACACATCCCTCCAGGATGCGAAAATCGGGCAAACGCGCGTTGCGTGAAGAAAGCTCCAGTCGTCATCGCCGCATAGGCACGGCAAATTCTGAGACCGATGACGAGCTGTTCGCCCATCCATAAATGGCTGGTGTCCACAACGTGCTAAAGCGACTGTGCTCACAACGCCAGACCAAGGGCACCGGAGTGCGGGCATTCGCTAGGGTTTGGGGAAGGGAGCGCTCTCCTCAGCTGCTGTAGGAAGGGATCTGAGAAAGGCGCGCCAGGAGACCGCCGTTGCGGGTCCAACCGGCGCCAACATGTGGTCCAGCATCGGCGCGAAGTCCGAGCATGCCGAGATCCGCCTTCCTTGAAGATCGGCCCCACATCGCAAATACATGGTGGGAGGCTTGCGCCACAGATTGCTCGTGAGTGGACATTGGCTCCGTGTTTCGAGCATCCATTTCCAGTCGGGTGAAATGCGCACCACCGCGCTTCTGCATCCTCATGGCGTGCAGCAATCGCGTCTACGCGGCAAACCAAGCTGTATGTAAGCTACGACATTGCTGCAACGTCAAACGTGGAGGCTTCATATGCGCAGTTGTGCGACCGACATTGAGCAGCTGTCAAACGAAGATTTCCTGTGATATTTATGCAACTTCATCCCTTGAAATGTTCCATCCTTGGCTGCATATATGCAGCTCATGTGCATTTCATAGCTTGTGTCATATGCAAAATTGGCTGCTTCAAGGTTGCTAAGCCTAAGCTTCTCTGACGCTTGTCGCAAAACGTGCGATTCATCTGTTCTTTGCTTTTCATGTTCTTTCAAACTACTGACCGAGCGCGGTGTTTTTTTTTTTCAACTCCGAGTTTCCCTTGACGAACCGCAGCGCGCCACCATTCCAGTGACCTGCAGCGATGCCGCATCGCTGTCGGCCTCGCAAGGCTGTGGCTGCCCTGTGCGTGTACGGCGGGACACAAGGGGGGCGTCGCAGCGCAAGGCGCGGCCCAGCGGGGTGGCACCGTAAACATTCGGCCCTTGCATTCGCCTTGCGTGATCGTGCTTAATGAGCTGGTGGTGCTTCGTGGCCGCGCCTGGCCTGCTTGCACCAAGCATGTTATTCTTAAGGGCGGGACCTGTGCAGAGCGCACTTTCGGAGCATCACCAAACCGTGCGAAGTTCGTATAATGGCTTCAGGATGCTTCAGGCACAACCGCATTGCATTCGGAGGTTTTTAGCACGCCGCACACGCCTTTTTGGTGGGTCTTGGGATTGCTTCATTTTGGATGTCGTAAGAGAAGGAACGTTTGCGCTGGGACGGCTTAATTTTGGTTGAGAAGTTGGGGCCAGCGCGGCCGTTCTTGCTGGAACCGTTCTTGTACATGCACCTGGTAACACAATTGTGTATAATTGTTTTCTCCCAGTCACGTATCTGCTTGTTGGATAAAACAAGGTCATCCATCTGGCCACAGCTGGATGTTCAACTCGATTGCCATCCCTTGATCACGTGGCAGGCGACATGGCGCTCTTTTGAATTCCCAACGAGTCCCGGGCCTGAGCTACTCCGTGTTCGATGCACGGAAGCGCAGACTTTCGTGTGGTGACAACCACGTTGATGGCAAGATCCCGTTCACCCATGAACATCCGGGTAGCCCCTGTTTACCCATGACCCCTTGAGACCCTGTTGACGCCTGGTCTGGATAACGTTCGTCTTTTCATGAGTCTCCCGGCTGGAACTGGAACTGGATGAATCAATTTTATGTTCTCTTCTCCAAGATTAGTAGGATCCTTTTCTCATTTTTACAATACGGGCATTGAACGCACGAGCTTATTTGAAGTACGTCCGTAATATTGTAATGTGTGACCAATGCGTGCGAACGGCCAAAGCAGCCATGTCTGCACGATGATACTGTAGCGTCGTGTGGCCAGCACGCGAATGGCCAGAGGATCCATGTCCACACGATGATAACGTCGGTGTGACCAGTGCGTGCGAAGGGCCAGAGCATCCATGTTCGCACGATGATGACGTCCGTGTGACCAGCACGCGAATGGCCAGAGCATCCATGTCCACACGATGAGAACGTCGTTGTGACCAGTGCGTGCGACTGGCCAGAGCATTCATGTTCGCACGATGATAGCGTCGTGTGATCAATGCGTGCAGTTGGCCAGAGCATTCATGTCCGCATGATGACAAACAAGCTAGGGAAATGTGCAAAGAAGCAAACTGGTGCTCACATCGACGCACTTAGTGCTGTGTTTGTACAAAAAATTCCGGACAGGCATGACACTTTGAACTGTTTTTGCATCTACTCGTATGATGTCCGAGACACTTTCGTGGACACTGCGTGGCTGGACATGCGGAGCCGTGAGTTCGAAAAAACAAGGCCACCGCAAAAATGCTGAGCTGTTTTGCTGTTTTCGACCAAAAAGAAAGCAAAACACAAAAACAAACAGCATGAAAAACACCTTGTTAATTAAGCCTTGCACATACTCACTTTCTGTTCGCACTGCACATGACCATGCCTGAACATGCAGCGAAAAACCTGGGCGAGAGTACATCTTTGGCATCGTCTGAAGTGTGGCAACATTGTGCTTTGGTCTACCTGGATTTGATTGCGCTACCTGCATGCATGGTACGGCGTGGTATGTCATGCCTGTTTCTTAGTCTAGTATCGTGACATTCACTGTGACATTCGCCACGGGGCTTCGTCGCGGCACAGTGCAGTGTCGCATTTGCATGGAAAAACAAACATGCAATTGGCGCAAAACATCGCATAGTGTAATCATGTTGCACGCACCATGCAATGATTATGCAATGTGGCGCTTCGCCAACGTCTTCTGCTCCCCGTTCTCAGCGGGCCCACGGATCTCTTCGCAACTCGTTTTAGAGAACACAACTCGTGCAGGGCTTGGGCTTCACGTGCGTTTGCGTGCGCTCGCTGGGACGCCGCGCCGCTTTCGGAAGTGACCGTCAGAAAGGCAAGGGCCGGTAAAGCAGTTGTGAGCTGGAGTGTCCCGCAGATGTGTGGCTTACCACGGGCTACGCGTGATGACGCGAGCAGCTGGACCAGCTGTGAGCCTGTCGCTCCCCCACGTGCACCGGGCGCCCACGGCAGTGCTGGACCGCTATGTCGGCTTGCGAGCGAGCGAAAACCGTGTCACGACGGCAGTTCTGAAATTCTCCTGTTTTGCCCTCGCCTTCGGGAGCAGCTCAAACAGCTTATCAGACCCGACCGTCGTTTTATTGCTCCTGGCAGCCTGTTGCGGAAGTTCGCCTGGATCTCCTGCGTGCATTGGGGGCCCCGCCCAGCCGCCCAAGCTCGCTGCTGTGGATCATATGAAAAATTCAACCGCAGCCCGGCAGTGCCACGATTTCCTATTTGCGTCGCATGTACGTCCCTTGCGTTGTGTATCGATCTCATTGCTGACAGCGACATGGTTCTTTCGTGACCAATGGTCACCAATCCTGCTCCGCGCCGTTGACTCACTGCTTGCAAGGCCTTCATTATAGGAACATCGGTACGAACAGCATGTGTGGACTTTAACGTTGAAATACGTTGAATCTGCTGGAGGCTCAGTTCGTGAGGGAGGACACGGGCGGCTGGGCTCCTCGAGAGGTGAGGTGGCAGAGTACATGGCGGCGCGTAACGGGTGCCCGACCCTGGCCTCAATGCGATTGCAAGGCGAGCCAGAAGCCGCGAGCTTCATGGAACGGGCGAAGACCGCAGTGGCATGATGAGTTTCTGCGCAGGCAGCCCAGTCGCACGACATCGCACGGCGGCGGCGCATGCAAAGCGCGTGCGCACTGGTTGCGTGACGGCTCGTGACGGCATGGTCATCAGCCATCAGCTCCACACGACACCGTTGCGGGGCGTATTGCTTGAACGGCTGAAAACTCATCGCGGGTCGTCCAGCGCCCGTCTTGCCTCGTACACCGGGCACGTTGTCAAAGGAGCTTGGAAGAACATACCCTCGCTGTAGTCATTACGCATTTACTCAGCTCAGCAGTGCCCCAAGAATCCGGACGACGCACGGCACACAGAAAGACCCTTGCTGGACGTGCTTACATGCTCGCAGCGCTGAGTCGACCAAACTGCAAACGACCTCTACCAACACATTTCCGCAAGTGTGCAGCCCAACAACTGATGGAATTCATGAGCCTGAAGCCCCTTTCAAGATAGCCGATCTGCATGCAATTTCGATACTTCCGATTGCGGGATGCTTGAATGGTGACCCCTAAGTACGAGCAGTGGGCGTAAGCGCGGCAAAGCACATTCTTTCTGCACCCTGTTAGGGAGCCCCGTACAACAGAGGACGCAACATTTTACCGCACAGCACGGGATCAACGCCGTCATTTTTGGTTCAATTTGGCGTCAGCTTCGGCCTCCCGGCACACGCGCAGGGCAGCTGATTCATGTACAGCGAAGCGTCGACCGAGCAATCCCGGGACCCAGCCCGTGCACACGGTTTTGCTTTGGCTACGCGCGTTTTCATCGCACAGGCGTGTGGGAGCCACGCGCGCGGCAGCAAATGCGACAGGAACTGTATCACGTGAGCGTGTGTGCCTGTCGTCAGGTGCCAGCATGAAGTTCGGCGTGACGGCATGCACTCCACGATGGCCACCCTTGAAATCACGCATGACGCCAGGCGTCCTTCGATCGCGAATTGGCTGCGATATGCGTGTTGCCACTCTGCGCAGCGAGCAAGAGTGTGCGCACCTCGTCCCTCCGTGCTTTCGCTGCCATGTGCGAGTCGCTGCAAAGACATGCCAGAGATCCGCAACGTTTCGCAAACAGTCTCGTCGTCGCAACAGGCGTCGAGCATTCGTTGTCAAGGGCTGCATCCATACCGATGTTGTTGACCACTGCCGCGAATGATCCCGAGTGGATCACCGCCAGCGACGCGCACTTATCAGAGGTTTGGTGCAGAATTCCGGCGAAACTAAGAGCACCGAGCACGCATATGCTTCCGAGACGACTTCTGAGAGCGCCTCTTGCACAGGTGCACGTGAGCAGTCTTTGCCTCGTAAAGCACTCCCTGAGCACTCGCTGAGCTATCGAGCCGCTCGCCACGTTGCAGCTCCATCCGACGTGCGATCTTCCGCCTGAAGCTTGTGGCTGCTTTTGGGCTTGTGATTATGTTAAGCTCGAACCCTCGACCGCTTCTACTAACCATACGCTCATGTACCCATCTCAAATGGAACCACTTTGGGGTGGATAGGGATCGAGCCCTAAACCCGAAACCCTATACCCTACACCCTGAACCCTAAACCCTGAACCGTATACCCTAAACTCTAAACCCTAAACCCTAAACCCTAAACCCTAAATTCAAAGGGCGTCTAGGGTTTTGAGGGTGCAAACTCTCCTCCTGCAGCTCCGTCAGCCGTGAGGCCAAAGATGCCTGTCCACCTGGGAGAAGCAGACTTGGGTTTAGGGTTTAGGGTTTAGGGTTTAGGGTTTAGGGGTTTAAGGGTTTAAGGGTTTAAGGGTTTAAGGGTTTAAGGGTTTAAGGGTTTAAGGGTTTAAGGGTTTAAGGGTTTAAGGGTTTAAGGGTTTAAGGGTTAAGGGTGAAGGGTTATGGGTTAAGGGTTAAGGGTTTAGGGTTAAGGGTTAAGGGTTTAGGGTTAGCCCACAACCCGGACACCCAATCTGACACTGATGCTTCGTATGGAGACATGGCAGGCTTGGACGCAGGATGCCTTGAGGGCAGTGGGGCAAAGCTTGTCAGCAGAGTCAGCAGTTCCCTTAACCCTAAACCCTAAACCCTAAACCCTAAACCCTAAACCCTAAACCCTAAACCCTAAACCCACAACCCTAAACCCTTTTGGCCTTTCGCAGCAAGGACATGAATCTATTTTTTTGCAAAAATCACCCTCTTAAAGAAGGCACCGAGAAGTAGATGAAATCCGGGTACAGTTGGGATGAGATCCCCAATGCGACTATGAACCCCAATCATCCAAAGTACGTGGGCTTCAAACCCCAAACCCTAAACCCTAAACCCCGAACCCTAAACCCTAAACCCCAAACCCTAAACCCTAAACCCCAAACCCTAAACCCCAAACCCTAAACCCCAAACCCTAGAAACCCTCCCCTGTGTTGACAAGAGGAGACCGGCCTGCGGCTTCTTGGCAGTACTTCAGCGTCCACTCGCACAAGTTCCCCAACCTTGGCTCACAAAAAGTCAGGGTTTAGGGTTTAGGGTTTAGGGTTTAGGGTTTAGGGTTTAGGGTTTAGGGTTTAGGGTTTAGGGTTTTGGGTTGAGGGTTTAGGGTTTAGGGTTTAGGGTTTAGGGTTTAGGGATGCTCCCCCTATATACTAACAGTCCTTGTAGGGTTTAGGGGTTAGGGCTTAGGGGGTATTCTTCCCCCTTATACTAACAGTCCTTAATAGGGATTATAGTACCCCACCCACCCCCCTATTATGATCCCTATTCCGAACCTAACAGTCCTTAGTACCCTATTCAGGACTGCTAGTATCAGGGGGAGCATCCCAACCTAAACCCTACACCCTTTTACAAAAGATGAAGGGTTCATCGAGAGTTCGGGCTTATGGCATCAAGTAGGACATCCGCCCAAAACCTGACTTTCAGCCACTGCTTCTTTCTGGACAAGTCTCCCGTCTTGATTTGTGTTTAGGATTTAGGGTTTAGGGTTTAGGATTTAGGATTTAGGGTTTAGGGTTTAGGGTTTAGGGGTTTGGGGGGGTTTTCGTTCAGGCTTTCTAGAGTGTACAGGGGCTTAAGGCATCAACCATGGAGGCCAGGATTCGGGATTAACTTGTTTAGGGTTTAGGGTTTAGGGTTTAGGGTTTAGGGTTTGGGGTTTGGGGTTTGGGGTTTAGGGTTTAGGGCCCTCAAAGGGTTCAGGGGTTTCTCGTGTGTAGAGTCGACCTTACAAGGACCCCAAACCTACTTTTTTTGGTAGGCTTATATGATTTTTAGGTAATCTACAAAAAGTAGGTTTGGGGTTCCTAAGGTGTAGGCTTATAGGATTCCTACGAGAAGTAGGTTTTAGGTTCTTGAGGTGTAGAACTCAAAGAACGGGGGGCGCAGCTGTGTTGCAACCGGGGAACTGCGCCACCGCAGCGTTCAACTCCTCACTCTTCGCGGGCTCCGCTGAGGCCTCCCGGGGATTTGAGTTTAGGGTTTGGGGTTTGGGGTTTAGGGTTTAGGGTTTGAAGTTTAGGGTTTAGTGTTTAGGGTTTACGTTTGCAGGCTTTGTAGGGGTTTATAGGGTTTAGGGGTTTATAGGGTTTAGGGCGTTTAGGGTTTACAGGCTTTATTGGGGTTTATAGGGTTTAGGGATTTATAGGGTTAATAGGGGTTTATAGGATTTCGGGGTTTGTAGGGTTTACAGGGTTTATAGGGGTTTATAGGGTTTGTCGGTGAGCGCTATAGGGTTTAGGGGTTTGGGGTTCAGGGTTCTGTGCCGAGGTTCACCTATTTACTCAACATGTCCGCGGCTTGGCAGAGAATCTTGTAAGAGGGTATGATACTTAATCATAGGGGGTTTGCCCTACGGGATCATGTTACCCCATACAACTAGACTGCTTGGAAGTTCATGGGAACTTATAAAGAGGCCTTGGGGGGCTTAATGCTCCCGATTTTGAGGTCTATGGACCCTAAACCCTTTTCGGGTTCAAACCAACACCCTAGACCCTAATCACTAGAAAAAAATTGGTATGGGCCATAAAACCCTAAACCCTAAACCCTAGACCCTAAACCCTAAACCCTGAACCCTAAACCCCAAACCCAAAACCCTAAAACCTATCACCTGGCCTCCCCTCGTTGCTTCTGCGATGCCAACAGCGAGGACATCTCACCGCGGAGCGCGGCCACCTGACCATGGGGTTGAGGGTTTAGGGTTTAGGGTTTGGGGTTTCGGGGTAAACTTGGGGCTTGGGGTTTAGGGTTTGGGGTTTAGGGTTTGGGGCTTAGGGTTTGGGGTTTAGGGTTTGGGGCTTAGGGTTTAGAGTTTGGGCTTAAGGGTTTAGGGTTTGGGGTTTCGGGGTAAACTTGGGGTTTGGGGTTTAGGGTTTGGGGTTTGGGGTTTAGGGTTTGGGGTTTAGGGGGTTTAGGGAGAGCCCAGTATATGCAGGTGTCTCGGGATCTGAATTTTTTTTGCATTGTCACCCCTTGTCTCGGGGATGACATGAACCCTCTTACCTTATAATAGGGAATTGTCAGCCTTTTCCTCGGGGATTCGACTGGTATGGAGAGCATGTTTGGTCGCTTGGTCCCCAAGGTCCCCTCTCCTCAAGCCTGGGTATTGAGTTCAGACCCAAAGGGCGTTTAAGGGGTTCATCCACTTGGAAACTAAACTCTAGAATACTTACACATGGTTTAAAATACAAACTAGCGACTCTGTCGCTTTAAGGTTTAGGGTTTAGGACAAGCACTACAAGTCCCCCGCTTTGCAAACGCCTCAGTCATGCTGGGAGACCAGATGAACTCTGCAAGGCTCCATTTAGGGTTTGAGGGTTTAAGGGTCTAGGGGTTTAAGGGTATAAGGGTTTTAGGGCTTATGTAGTCCCCCGCCCTATAAACCCCAAACCCCTGACCCCATTAACCCTGCATTTTGTCCCCTGCCTGGTTCAGCACTGCTCGGCCTTGGAGTACAACCAGGTGATGCTAGAGCGCGGGCCAAAAGACGTACCCATATGGTCTTTGCCTGGGCCTTACATTACAGGGTGTCCCGATGCAGAAGCTTTAGAGGGCGCAGGGTAATCATATCACATAGGTGCATGGCCCCTCAAAGTTGTGTTACAAGTGAGGGCCTCGGTATGCTACATGAGCCCTAAAAAGTGAGAAGCCAAGCAGATGTCGCACGGGTTTGGGGTCGAGGGTTTATAAGGTTAGGCTTGAGAGTATAGGGTTTAGGGTTTAGGGTTTAGGCTTGTTAGGCACCACCTAATTCTGAGAGGCCGGCTTTCATCGGCGGTCACCTGCACGGAAGCTTTGCTGAAATGCCCCGCACTTAGGGTTCAGGGTTTAGGGTTTAGGGTTAGGGTTTAGGGGTTAGGGTTTAGGGTTTGGGGGTTAGGGTTTAGGGTTTAGGGCGCCTCCGCACCACCTTTGGCCACACCCTGCAGCTGTCCAACCTGCACATGGAGGTGAAGGGTTTCGAAAATCCAGGGTATGCTCCTTTTGGGTTCCATGTTGCAAACTACATTATGTTGTAGGGTATGTGGGCACTCGTATCCCATAGGAACACACACGCACTAGAGGAAGAATGTGTCGACTGGCATCTTCACCGCGCGCTGCTTCGCAGCCTCGGCAACCAATGCGGCAACGTCTCCACGCAACGCTGCCAACTGCGCCTGAGACAACACGCTGCGGATGTGTTCACATTTTCGTGCAACGTCTTCTTGAATCTTCTCTTTACGGACATGGCACGTGCGCAAAAAGAATTCATTGAGCATACGTTGACGGGAGTTGCACCAAGGCACCGCGGTTTCACCCGCATAGCTGGACGAATAAGAAGCGTCGATGGCGCTTTGCATGGTGCGACATCCGCTCAGAAGAAATTGGTAGTCCAGAAAAACAAATTATAATCAGGGTGCCCTTTTTGGGGTTGGTTACTGTATAAGGGAACCTTGAACCCCCAAAAAAGGGAAAAGGGTACCACTGGGCTACCAAGAGAACTAGGTAACGCCACAGGCTTCTCCAGCTGGAGGGTCTTTTGGGCAATTGGTAGCAAACTGAACATCATGAGGCTACCTCACAGCTGTGCAGTGCACACTGGCCACAAATGTAGCTTATAGCTTGAACCCACCAGGCGAGCAAAACTTAAGACCCTAAACCCTAAAACCCGAAAACCCAAACCGCAAACCCTAAACCCTAAACCCTAAACCCTAAACCCTAAACCCTAAACCCTAAACCCTAAACCCTAAACCCTAAACCCTAAACCCTAAACCCTAAACCCTAAACCCTAAACCCTAAACCCTGCCTTCGTCGAATCCAAGCCGTAACACAGTATACTTGCGCTGCGGTGATCCATAGCAAAAGCAAAGCACTAAACCCTGAAACGTTGGTGCAATCCATCCGGCTTAGGGGGTTACCCGGATGGGCCATTAGACCTTGTAACCCTTGGAAGAGGGCCTTTATGAGGCTGTTTATGGGGGCTTATAGGGCCAAATGTTTTAATAGCCCATCCTATTCTGTAGGCTTGCAATGCCATAGAAACCTGCTTAAAGTGCAATCACGGAATCGATGGTGATTTGGGGTACTTTTCTGGAAGCCTTTGCACACAAGACCACTGCAGCCCAAAACCCTATGAACCCCCCACTATGATCCCTAAACCCTAAACCCTAAACCCTTTTAGGGTTTATAGCAGTCTTGGGAGCTTTGTGGGAGGGGCTCGACGGTTTGTCCTTGTCAGTGAATTTTCAGGCCCTGCAAGCCTTTCAACCATCACCAAATAAGAGTTCAGAGAAGTGATAATCAGGAAGGGTCCTCCAATTAAACGATGAGTGACTTCTCCACATCACTCCAGTACGGTAACCAGCAAGCTGGAGTCTAAGGGGCTTAGGGTACCTTGGGCTCTGTAGGAACAGGCCTCTTGGGCAGTATGCTTGCACTGCCCAACCCTCCAAAATTGCAGCAAGCAGAGTCCCCCCCCCCAAACCCCCCCAAACCCCCCCCCAAACCCCCCCAAACCCCCCCAAAAAACCCCCCCCCAACCCCCCCCCCCCCCCCCAAACCCCCCCCCCAAAACCCCCTCCCCCCACCCCCCCCCCAAAAAAAAAACAAGCCCGAAACCCTACACACCCGGGCTTATGGTGTGAGGGTTTTCGGTAAACCCACTGTTCTTCAGACTCCCGCGGCCAGCACCTTCTTTTCCCACTACGCGGCACGTTTGGACACCGAGGCCTCATGAGGACCCGAAACCCTACACCCCCAAAGCCCTAAACCCTGAAACCTAAACCCTCAAGCCTACACCCGTAACCCGAAATTCTAAACCCTAAAACCTAAACCCTGAAGCCTACACCCCTAAGCCTTGAAGACCCTAAACCTCCCACTCTCCTTCGAAGGAACAACCTTGGGGACCAAATGTGCAGCCTCTCATGGGGATCATGTGCCACATAATTTACGAGAATCCATATTCAGATCTAGGATGGCCCTCAAAACCATCTGCGAAGGGTTTAGGGTTTAGGGTTTAGGGTTTAGGGTTTAGGGGCTTAGGGGTTTAGGGTTTAGGGTTTAGGGCTTAGGGTAAACCCAACAAGGGAAAAATCACATTCCAGGGGCCGACCTGACCATAAGCCCTTCTAGGTTTCATTTCGTCCCCAAGGAATGTGCACTCACATGCCATTTCCGAGGTGAGGCGCCTGGCTCGTTGCACGGCGTGAGGTTGAAAAAGGTTTAGGGTTTAGGGTTTAGGGTTTCGGGTTAAGGTTGGTTTCATGAGGGATAAGGCGAGACTTGCAAGGGCCCGTCAAGGCGTTTGTATAAACCTTGCGAAGATTCCCAGCGCCCTGAAAGATTGCCGAAAAGTTGCCAACATTGTGCCAGGTGCTCCATGTGACCCATAGGCCCCAAGTGCTCCGAGCATTTGAAGTGTCCAAGTGTCCCAAGTGCCTCAAGTGTCCCCTAAACATGCTTACATGTGTTGCATGTGAAGGGCTGGTTCCGGTTTGGTTCGCTGCGAGTTGGCCTTGGGGCGGGCGTGTCTTCACACTACTGCGTTCAGATGACCAATGCTACACCCCCACACCCCAGGTTCATTTAGTCCGCCGAGGATGGCAGCACATGAGTTGACCGATGTCATATCATTTCATGACCAAACCCTAAACCTTAAACCCTAAATAGGGCTTAGGGTTTAGGGGTTTAGGGCTTAGGGTTCAGGGGTTTAGGGTTGTAGAGTTGTATATAGGGATTAGGTCACATACAACAAAAATCCACGTTGATCCAAAAACAATAAGTGAAGGCTCACGGGACTTTCGTTCTCGTGCACGAAGCCGCAGCCCTCTAGATCCTTGCTTACATTCAAAGGGGGAGAAGTGAAGGCCCCAGCCTAAACCCCTAAATCCAGTCGTACCATTCACCAAGTTGGGCGCTAAACCTAAACCCTAAACCCTAAACCCTAAACCCTAGGCCCTAAACCCTAAACCCTAAACCCAAAACCCAAAACCCTAAGCCCTGCGTGCCGACCCGGGGCTGTGGCGAGTGGGCCCCAGGCAGCTGATTTGCCCGATCGCACGGCCTCAGACTCTTTCAGAGACGAAGAGAGATAACCGCTTCTAGGCTGCCCAGTAACCTAGGCTTAAAAGGGGTGCCCTTTTTTGCTTAAAGGGGTTGATAAGGGAACCTAAACCACCCAAAAAGGGAATAAGGGTACTACTGGGCATCCTAGGCTTTAGGGCTTTCTAAATGATAGGGGGTACTTAGGCTTGATCGCAGGGCCTTGCTCATTTGTTTCTGCACCGGCTTTCCTGGGACTGTCCTGAAGAAAGCAACACTGCTCTTTGTCGTGGTAATGGGGGTTTATGAGGGAACTGATGGCCTGAACCCCATCTTCTCTCTGACAGGTTCAAACACGGGGCGTCGGGGGGGGGGGGGGGGGGGGGGGGGGGGGGGGGGGGGGGGGGTGTGGGTTGGGGTTGGGGTTTATATAATTAGGGGGTTATCTGAAGGGCCCTCTGGGTTTCAACCAGATGCACTAGTGACTAATGAAGGAGACTCCCACAAAGGGCTCAACCCCCTCATGGCCCGCATGTGCTTGAGTCAGAATGCTGCGGCCCCAGAGGTACGTGCCTTCATGGTTTACCTTAAGAACCCCAAGCCCACATTTTTGTAGGTTGTTACTGTAAACCCCTTTGTAGGATTCCTAGGTTTGGTTCTAAGGAGGGTTTAGAGTATATCCCCGGCGAAGGAAAGAATGAATTAGGGTTTAGGGTTTAGGGTTTAGGGTTTAGGGTTTAGGGTTTAGGGTTCAGGGTTTAGGGTTTAGGGTTTAGGGTTTAGGGTTTAGGGTTTAGGTTTTAGGGTTTAGGGTTTAGGGTTTAGGGAACCCTAAGCCCTAAACCCTAAAAGCCCTGAACCTCCCTCCCACATATTTCGGGGATCCCGACCTCGACTGCCTTGGCCTTCTCTTTCTGAAGACGCCGCTCCTTGGGGCTTTTAGGGTTTAGGGTTGAAGAGTCTAAGGGTCCAGGGTTTTAAGTCTTTGGGTCAAGAGTTCAGGATTTAGGGCTTAGGGCACCTTTATTGGGCTAAGGGCTGGGAGTTGAGATGTTCCCCCCCCTTAAACTAACAGTCCTGCATAGGGGGGTACTGTGATCCCTAATTAAGGACTGTTAGTATAAGGGCGGACATCCCAAGCCTGGAGTCTGGAGGTTTTAGGTTTTTGTGGTTTAAGGGCGGGTGCAGTCAGGGAGCTCCCAGCTAGGGCACCATATGCAAGGCTGCAACATCTTTAAGGGTAAGGGATGTACCACCTCCCTAAAGGCTAAACCCTAAACCCTAAGCCCTAAACCTCTTCAGCTATCCCCAAACCCGAAATCCTAAACCCCAAGACCCCCGCTGTTGCTTTCAGAGCGTCAACAACAACTCGCATCGCCTGCTTAGGGGGTAAAACTTTTTTGGGGTTCAGGGTTCAGTAAGGGTTTGGGAAGACTTCCCGTTATGCCCTAAACCCCCCCCCCCCCCCTGCAACCCTGTTCCCGGCGAAATGACATGCTGCAATCACCCCCCCCCCCTCCGACGAAACATGGCACAAGCACAACACCTATACATGCAACATGAAAGACCAAGCAAAACCACTTACAGGGCTCTACACACTGAAGAGGAACAAAACCCTAAGCCCTAAACCCTAAACTCTTAACCCTAAACCTCAAAACCCTCAACCAAACCTTAGCCCCGCCCCCCCCCCATGGTGAACTGATGAGTTGCCCCGACCATCGAGCTGCCAGAGCCGTAAAGCCCTCAAAAGACCCAACGCATTCGAAGTAATCCTACGAAAACAGCCAGCAAGACCCCGCACACGCCAACACAAGCTCTCTATGTCACAAACAGCAAAAGGCAAAACACTATGAAGCACCATAGAACACTACAGCACACCATGAAACACAACCCCCAAAACTAATCCCCTAATTACACCCCAAACTCCAAACCCCAAACCCCAAACCCTAAACCCCAAACCCTAAACCCCAAACCCTAAACCCTAAACCCCAAACCCTAAACCCCAAGCCCTGCATGCCCCGAAACAGGTCCGATGTCCTTGAGCCGCGCGAGGCGCTCTGCCTGCTCGGCAGCCCGGCGTTCGCGGTCCGAGTCGTCCCTGCTTCCGAGATTAGGGTTTAGGGTTTAGGGTTTGGGGTTTAGGGTTTGGGGTTTAGGGTTTAGGGTTTGGGGTTTGGGGTTTAGGGTTTGGGGTTTGGGGTTTAGGGTCTAGGGTTTGGGGTTGGGATTTGGGGTTTAGGGTTTGGGTTTAGGGTTTGGGGTTTGGGGTTTAGGGTTCAGGCCTAGAAAGCCTTCCAAATGACCAAGCAGGCAGGCCATT